AATGATGAACATTTATTAAGCACCAAGAGTATACTGCAGTTGTTACTATATAAAAACATAATTATTGATATAGTATCCCTGCCATTAAGCTTACAATCTAAAATGAATTTATATTCTTAATTCATAAATGGCTTTTTTTGGCAAATGGTTGAGGCAAGAACCACTTATTTCAGGCGCAGTGTTAATAAGGCTTTGAGCATAGTCCAAAAGATGTTTTAATTGTCCAAAGACATTTCCCCCAATTATGTTAGGCTTACTAGTAAAAGAAACATTTAGAAATAAGACTTGTAAAAAGAATTATTTCAAATTGCTTTATAGGACTTTGAAGGAAAAGATGCTGACTGACTTGAATTCTTCAGCAGCCAGGGCAAGCCTCACACAAAATACTATGAAAGAGATCAAGTACACCTGCCACCCATTTAAAGTTTTTTCTTTCCCACATGTGAGGGCTCTAATGATGCTCCTACTCAGGAAGCAAGTGCTGTATAGACATAAACTATCCTAAAGTATTAGGAGCTAAAGCCAAATTCTGGGTGCTAGTTACAGTTTAAGAGCACCAAGCAAAGGCAGCAGCGAGGCTTCTAACTATGGAAGACGGCTATGTAAGGTACAAAAGCGAAACAGCTGAGTTCAGTTCATGCATCTTGAAAGTGAGTTAGCTCTACAGGTAAAGGCTGGCTTTTCTGCTCCATATTTATGATGTAGAGGTGAATTTGGTAACAAGAACCTACACTATTTTGAGTATATCCATAGTAATAAATACTTTTAAGGTTTTCATTGCTGGTCATATATGAGCTGACAAAGGCACAAGGAAGGGATTTTATTCTTACTGTCAAATGCAAGTATGTTTTAAACTACTGAGCACATACAGTCTTCAAATACATATAATTTTCAATTATATATGATAATCCCTTGAATTCTCAAAGAATACTAAAAAAATAATTTCTTTGGAATCAGAAACTGAATTTACTCTGTAAAGGACATGCACAATTTTTTTAAAAATGCATGCATACAAATATTTTAATGGCAGAGTGATTGCATCCTGAGATTTCTTATGGCAAAACATTATTATAGAATTTTTTTTAAACCAGAAATTTTCCTTTTAGAAGTTTATTTTGGTAGCTTCCCTTATAAATGATAGTACAGCAGCAGCAACATTTTAGAATGTTCATAAAGCTTACTTAGTATAACAAGTTTATTCAGAGTTCCAAAATTTCAGGATGATTTTTATTTAAGTAGAATAATTCACTAATTTTTACTACAATCAACACTTTTAACATCCCTCTTCTAATTTAGCTATTATGCTAAGTAAAATTCAATTAAAATGATATTTCAAATAGAAACTATGCAGCAATTACATATCAATATTATTCTCTGTAATAAGAGGACAGAAATGAATTTCAAAGAAGTTTTTAAAAAATAAAAAGAATTCAATATAATCAGCACTTTGATAAGAATGTGGATTTCCAATATTAGTCAATACCCTTTATTTGGAACCATACCAAACAACCTGAATTCCTGATAAAAATATTGTTTTTCTAAGGCATGGCAAATTTGATTATATATAAAGCATAGTTCTTAATAAAGGCAATGACCAATATACACAATTTCATTTCATTCATGTCTGATTGTAAGTCTACATCTGTGATATTAAACTTAGGAGCATATTTGCTGTAACATGTTAAAAATACTTCATTTTTTCAAATATTGTAAAGTACACTGTATTTTCAAATACTTGAATATAAAATTTTTGCACAAAATTTTAAAAAGGCAAACTATTAATTAGCTGTAACTACTGTTAAGTATTTATATGAAGGAAGAAGTTCATAAGAAAAGCAAAATACAAAACAAAAATAATAATTACTGCATGTAACAAAAATGAAGTAGTTAATATTCTTGTCTCTTGTGTTAGTAATATGTATGTTTATTTGCAGCTGTTAAGTCTCTTAAGCATGCTAAGTTTGTGCAAGATTTGGTTTTTTTTGGTTAGTTATTTTTTTTTCCCCTATTTTCTTCCAACAGGAGTTGGAAGCAATTTTCTTTTGACTTCAAAGGAAAAGAAGAAAAAAAAATATTGTTTTTAATCTGAGTCATGTAAAAGTTGACCTCTTATTTTACCATGCTATATTTACTCTTGTAGACCTTTGCTAATAGTTAACCACAGGGTTCTTGTAATTAAGTACAGTGCAGTGTCTGTGTCAATAAATTGATAGAGATTTATAAGGCAAATCCTGGTCTCAGCTGTTTCAAATATACTATGCAAATATTTTCTATTTTGGGGAAAAAAAGAAGAGATGAAGAAAACCCTTGCAGTCGCCTTCAAAGCTAACTCTTTTGAGATACAATTTCAAATAAAGATGTACTAGTCAAGTAATGTTGGTAATTTCTTATCTTTGCATAGAAGGAAAAAGTCAAACCAAAGCAATTACTTCCTCCCTAAGGTCTCAGCTAGTTTCTTCAATCTTTTTTTCAGTTCCAGTGGAAATTTCTCATAGCACTTCTTACAGACTGGTTTCATGTCAAACTCCACAAACTTATTCCTAAAAAAAAAATTAAAAAATTAGAAATATATTCAACATAAACATTCAAGTAAATGAAGCTAACTTTATTGAATTGAAATGAATAGAATGTGATCTATATTCATGTGAGGGAAAATGTTTCTAATCTTATCACTGTGGTATATATAATTCACAATATAATTTTTAAAAGTTTGTAATTAGAACTATATACATATGCAATAAAAAACATAATACACTCAATGTTAAGAATACAGGAAATCTAATAAAAATGAAATTTAGATAAGGGAAGTCACATTTTAAAATACCATGTGAAGAACCTAAAAAACGGTATTGATTTATAGCAAAAAAAAAAAATCCATTTAAAAATATAAACAAGCCTTTCAATATTTAGGCAAAATAATCAGTATTTTGAATTGCATAGCTGTGGGGTTTTCTTTGCTAATATAAGATGACTTTCGCCAAAAAAGCCCAATAAAAGTATGTTTCTCTTAAATCATATTAAGTTTTTTTGGTTGTTTGACAGAAATGATTGGTTGGAAGAGGTATGAGAACCTTTTTTAACTGCCCCTATAGAATGCAAATGTAACCAAATCATTACTTGTTATTTCAGAACTAATAAGTATAAAAGAAACTACCTCTTCTTTTTTAAAAGCTAGAGGGAATGCATATTATCAATTTACCTGTACAAGAACGTCCAGGAGAAGATGATTTTTTAAATGGCTACCTGACTTGAAACGTATTTGCTATACTTCTAGAATCTAGGGTCTTTAACTCTGAATTTAGTAAATATACTACTTCATGATCTGTTTACCTTCTGTAAAGATATATTCAGTAAACATCTGTTAATCAAGTACATTATTATTTATGGCAAAATGATAAAGTCTGTTGATACAATCTTCATGTATTCTAAAGTATATATATTACATTAGGAGACTATAGACATCAAAATACTTATTAATAATATTGTTAATTCTTACCCCCGCCCATTTTCTACTGTTTTAATGGTGGCAATGATTTAAATGATACTATATTTCAAAAGCTTTGAGAGGGCAGCTTGACTTAATAGTACTAATGAGTTAAACTTTTCTCTCTTAATCTTAGATCAAATGCTACTAAAACTGTTATTTTAAATGAAGGAACTAATTATTATTGTGTTCATAATAATGAAGATTTCCATAAGTTTAACTTTAGTTCATTTTTATCACAGAAAGCATGAAAACCAGAACAGAAAAAAAATAGAGCTCAAAATGTAAACATGAGAGAAAAATCATGCCAGTAATGCCAGTAATTTAACAGAATTTCAGCGATTAAACTGAGATAAAACACTACAAAAACTACAAGATGTAAACACAATGTATATGAATGATTAAAAAAGAACAAAAACAAACACTGAGATGTGAAGAGCTGACTGGTGCTAAGCAAATACTACTGACCATCTTTAGTAAAGATTCTATAGAATAATTCTGATCAAAAGAGGGAAAATGCAAAATAGAATTTCAAATACTCATGAAATCTAGACTTTCTGCAATCATGGATAATCTTCAAACCAAAATATCCCTAGAAGACTTCCAAACCCAAACAGTACAAAAACTCACAACCCTCAAGGGTTGAGCCCAACGCAGAGCCTCCAGCAGGTAAATCAGATGCTGCAAATAACATGGGAGGCGACTGCCTGTCATTCCCCAGAGGAGCAGTAGCTGGTGGACTGAACCACCTGATTTTGGGTTAGCAATGCAATTCCTGCCCCAACTGGACACCAGAGCTCCCTAAACAAAACCATGTTGTTGTTGTTGTTAAATGCCATCGAATCAGCTACGACTCACAGGGACCCGATGAACAATGAACAATGAATTTGATTCTGCTCTATCACATGCCATCCTTACCATCTCGGAAATACTCAAGCCCACCGTCAAAGTTACCGTGTCAATCCATCTCATTGAAGGTCTTTCCCTTCTTTGCTGATCCTCTCTATCTTTCTAAGCATGATGATGTTTTCAAAGACTAACAACATGCCCAAAGTATGTCAGACAACAACACCCTATCGTTGCCTTCACAGAGCACCCTGGCTGCCTTTCCCTACACATACGTGTTTGTCATTTTGGCAGTCCATAGGATATGCAGCACACTTCTCCGACAAACTATCCTATAGTTTAGCTTAATTTAAAGAACTTCTCTATGGTATCAAAGTGGCAAAAGTTATCTTGAAATAGAAGATAAGAACTTTATGGAGGCAGTGAGTTTTTGTTAATGGGGGAGGAACCATTGAGAAGAGGGTAAGAAAGGTTGCACAACTTGAAGAATGTAATCAATGTCACCGAACTGCACATGGAATTTGTGGGTTCTGCTATGTATATTCTTGACAATAACAAAATAAAATCAGCTATGAAAAAATTGAAATGAAAAGAAAGTTTGAAGACTTCAAAAGAATTACTAAACAGTGGCATATCAGCATAATCTTATTATGTATGTGCATTAGATGAATTCTGCGTGGCTATGAAATAAAGCTTGCAGAGGATTTATTAAAAAAGTGTGCAATATGTGCATTTAAAAACAATATCCAGTGACACTTGGAATTTATCAAGTAAATTATTCTAGGCAGAGAAAACGAAGATAAAGATTTTGACGATTTTCTTTTTTGTTATGTGTCATAGAGTCAAGTACAATTCATAGCGATCTTATAAAAAGTAGCTCTGAACCTTGTTCTATGCTGAGCCAGTATCACTATCTCATGACATGCCTGTCCTCACTGCCAAACACTGTGTGTGAATCCATCTCATTCAGGGTCTTCCTCTCCTTTATTTGCTAAAGTTTCCCTTAGTAAATAATAACTTTGAACTTTTTCAACCATCTAGTGAAGTACCACACTGGAATCTTTCTGAACCCAATTATAAAAAGAACAGTATCTGAATTGTACTCTGTACTGAGACTGAAAAAGAAAACCAGAATAATTCTATAGATTAAGGGAAATATGCAAAGCACAAGATGACATAAGCATGGACCTTATTCACTTAAGTTTTACAATTTTAATCATTTTGCGGAAAGACTAACTCACACAAGACAGATATTGTTATTTCAGTATCTGGCAGCAACAAACTCATGCAAAAACAAAGAGAACGAAAACAAAAGCATTCCAAAGAACTAACCAAAGAAGAAAGTAGTGAAAATGATGAAAGAGGGGATAGAAAAGTTTACAAACAGACTGGCTTTTTCTTTTTCTGCTTGTCCTTATCCTTTGCTTCTCTCTCCCGTTTGGCAAGTCGCCTCTTAAATTCTTCTGGCATTTTCTCATAACAGTGTTTGCAGACTGGTTTAAGATCAATTTCAACAAACTTATCCCTTTGAGCAAGACAAAGAAATAGAGGAAAGAACAGGGAATAATTAAAGGAAGTACCTTTCTTTTCAGAAGGCCTGAACAGAAAGAAGAAATAAAACCAGTGATTCTTTTTTAAAAAAAGTTTATGATTATTTATTGGAAGCAGGAGTGACATCCACTTCCTAAACAACATGCCTCCGGAAACTCTGTGAACTTCTGATAAATGTTGATAGTTATAGAAAGGCTTCAGGCCTTTTGTTCATAGGGTCACTATGAGTCGTGCTCGACTCGAAGGCAATCAACAATAATGAGTATTTAATAAAATGTTACCCCAAAGTTTTCAATCTTAGGATTCATACTGCAGTACTTACTTGAGTGTTAATTTAGTGTTGCAAGTAGAACACGCAAAACAGTTCACACACCAGGCCTTATTAAGAGCAGAAACCACTAGGGAAAGACGAAAGAGATTTGGTCACATAGAAATACAATGGCATGGGACATGGAGGGAATACGGAAATTTTCAACTCTAAAATAAAACTAACGTCTATTTCTTATTTGCACAACATTTGGAAGAAATTTTTAAGAGATTATCTAGAAAATGAATAATATAATTAAAAATCTCAGTCCTATCAATTAATCAATCTTATTGAGTCAATCAATTCTACTAATTATTTTTTGTTTGGTTTTTTTTTCCATTTTTTATTAATTTTTAAAAATGCAACATATATCTTTTTTTTTTTTTAATTTTATTATTTTTGTTTGAGTGTACCGTCAAATCAGATCTGACTGGTACAGGAGGAGATTGTCCCTCCTTCCCCGGCAGAGCATCTGGTGGATTCGAACCCTGTGTCTCTGGGATTGTAGTTGCAGCTCCTTACCACTAGGCCACCAGAGCTCCCCTCATGTATCTTTTTTACAGCATATTCCTTCCATTTAATTTTTTTCCTCATTCTTTCATTGTTTCACATTTTCCTCCCTGTACACTTCTCCCCCAATTTGTTTTTCTCTTTGAAAAGAAAAAAAATTTCTTTCATTGTTATACAATCCCCCCGCAAGTCCACAGTCCACTTGACTATGTATTTCTTTTTCTGTAATCTTGTCATGAAAACAGTATCTAATCCTATATTTCTTTTAAACAGTTCTCTCTCTCTCATCTGTCTCAATGCAATATACATTATTTATCCCCTCTTTCCTTAGGTTCCCCCCAACCCTGATGTCAGTCCCATTTTACAACAATGGCATTATGCGATATTATGGCAATATTTGTCCTTTTGTGACTGAGATATGTCCTCCAGGGTCACCAATTTTGTAGAATATTTCATGAGTTCCTTGTTTTTCAATGCACTGTGTGAATATACCACAGTTTCTTTATCCATTCATTTGTTGATGGGCACTTGGGTTGTTTCCAACTCTTTGCTACTGTGAACAAAGCTGCAATAAATAGGGTATGCATGTATCTGCTTGGGTGGCAGATATGGTTTCTTTAGGGTATTCCCAGTAGTGGAATTGATGGGTCAAATGATATTTCTATTTCCAACTTTTTGAGAAAGCACCATACTGCCTTTCCAGAGTGGTTGCACTATTTTACACTCCCACTAACAGTGAAAAAGGGTTTCAGTTTCTCCACAATCTCACCAGCATTTGCTGTTTGCTGCTTGTCGAATATTGCTATTCTTACTGGGGTAAGATGATATCTCATAGTTGTTTTGTTTACTAATTATTTTAAGAGGGTTTTTAAAGTATTAAAAACATATTTAAGAACACTTAATTTATGTCTCTCTTGAGTATAACATTCTACTTAAGGAAGATTATAACCACTTTTTTCAACCTTTCTTTGTGGTTCATTTTTTTTCCTTTGAGTAACCTGTGAGGAATATAATCTGTTTGTACTATGTTTTTCTAACAAAGATTATGATTTCTGAATCCCCTGGATGAGGACAGAACACGTTTAACATGTATTATGTTATTCAGATTAGCTTTTTAAACAGTGTTTGCCTAGCAGTGCACTCCCCATTTATGTTCCTATTACTGTTTGTCTGAAAATGAAATATGAGGTAGGCAGAGAATTTTAAAAAAATCCATGTATTAACCTACTTGCATGTAGGAGCCTTTCCCCCAAAAAACTGACATCAAGAAAGTACCTTCCTTGGGCTCTTCCTTCACTTGGTAACTCATTTTTAGGGCAGAGTTTTCTTTTCAATGGCACAAAATACTTTCTTCTTGAACTAGTCCTTTGGCAAAATGCAGAGGCTGGGTTTCAGAAAGTATTTCCTGAGTTAGGTGATATCTGCTGAGAACTATAAAGCCTGCTGAAAACAGGAATGCTTAAAACGTTGCCAGGAAGTTTCTGGCAGAATTGCGTTAACCACTATTTGCAAATGCAGCTGCTTCCTCTCTGTTGCAGTCAATCAGCCAGGGCCAACGATCACAGGAGAAGAGTGATAAGCACCAGAAAGGCCTGTAAGTAACTGCCAGGTTTCAGCATCTGCAGAGCTAAAATGACTCTTCCTAACTATCACAGAAGATTAAGCTATTCCCAATAAACAATGCTCTACTACAATTTACCATGTTATATACTTTCAGAGACTAGAAACACACGTCTCAAGATCTGTGAAGACACAGTCAGTGGGAATAGTTCTCTCAATTCTTAGTGGTGCTGGTGAGCAGAGGAGACTCAACAGCAGGACAAGAGTTTGAGGAACCACAACTAGAACTCTTACTGCCACAGTCTAGGCTCTCTCATAATCCATGCCTTTGGACACAGGGTAATTATATGAAAGAAATATGGAATCATTTGTGGAATCGAGATTTTGAATTATTGTCTTTGACTGAACCTGAAATGCCCATTATAAACTTAAAGAATTATCATAATGGAGAGCTTCAACTTCCAAGACGTTCTAGTCTCACTACTATAGATTACTTATGAAATATACCAAAGAAAGAGAAAAATAACTGATAATGATGCTATTCCAAAAAATAGCAGTCTTTGTATATTTTCACATTAATCAAGTGTTTTGGTGACAAAACAATACATACCATCACCTTCAATAACACGGTTACAGTGGAAACAAACATCTCCAAACAGCTGGAAATGGAGAAAAAGAAGAATGTTGAGTTTTAGAAAACTGAACATTTAAAATAATTTCAATTCTTTCTCTCACTTAAAAATACAGCTGGCTATCTAAAACCAGAATTTACCATCAATAATGGCAAATCAGTAAAGTTGATTGAATAGTTTTTATCTCTTACAGTGAAAACAAATTTACCTTTCACAATTTCAAAATAACATCTATCCAAAGGATATTCTCAATGTCAAAATACATATAATAATGAGTTACAAACTTTAAAAATATATGAGACCTTGTGAGTTCACGTAGTTAATAAATAATAAGACACAAACTGCTGAGAGTCAAATAAGAGTGGAAAGAATGCAAGAGCTGGAAAATTATCGTTTTGAAACCCTAAGTGTCAAGTCTAGATCACATAAAACTCATCAGTGGTGGCAAATCTAGCAGAGATTTTAATTAGAAGAAATTTGCTTGTTCTTAAAACTGACTGCTCACAGATTGTGGATCAGCTGCAAGGGAGCGAGGATATTCTGTGGGCCTGGTTTCAGAACACCACGATAAAGTGAACACTGTAATAAAATGAATCACACATTTTTATTTTTTGCTGTTGTTTCCCAGTGTATGTAAAAATTATGTTTTCACTATACTCTATCCTATCTCAGGAATGTGGTTCAAATCCACCAGCCGCTCCCTGGGAGAAAGATGGGCAATCGCTTCGTGTGTGCTTTATTTTTTCTGAAAACCCACTAAAGGGCCAACTATGAGTTGCTTCTGAGTCGACTGCCCTTAAAAACAATAGCCTTCAATAGTATTATGAAAGTTTTAATTGTGGTGAGAATTACAAAAACATGATACAGAGACATGAAGGGAGTCCGTTACTAGAAAAATGTTGTCAACAGACTTGCTCCGCATAAAGTTACCACAAAACTTCAATTTGTCAAAAATGCAGTTATCTATGAAGTATATATTTACAGTGGTGCTCAGATAATACATGTTGATTGGATAAAAGATAGATGGATGGCAAGCCTCTAGATGGGTTACATTGAGAACACAGCATCATCTATCTATGCAGCACTGAAGCCTAACTTCAGTGTCGTCATTAAGAAACAGGCAACACCTCGTATAAGAAGTAATTCCATTTTAAAAAGTAAAATGGAGAAAGAATCTATATTCTTCAAACATGTCAATGAAGTAAATGACAGAAATGTCTCAGATTGAAAGTGGCTAAAAGATATGATAGCCACAGACTGACTCCAATATTGGAGCAGAGATGGGGAGAAAAAAAGGAAGAATGTTGTAAGGACATTACTGGGTCAAGCAATAAAGTTGCTATATAAACAACACTGTATACAAGAAAGTACTGTAGTATTGTATCAATATCAATAACTGTAATGTGGTTATATAAAGGGAGTATTCATTCATATTCTTAGAAAACATATACTGAATTACTTGGGGTAAACATCATGATGTAACTTAAGATCAAACGCTTCAGAGAAAAAAGATTACTTGTGTATATAAATATTTGGTCATTTATATGTGTTTTTCTATAGTGTGAGCGCAAGCAAATGATGGGGGCAAATGGAGAATCTAAGTAAAGTAAAAGGTATTCAGTTAGTCTTCATATTTTTTATTTTCAAATAATCTGTGATTTGACATTATTTCCAAATAGAACCTTAGAGCTAGACCTTGACAGACCAATGCACATTTTCTGAGACTTCTTTATAGTTAACTAGGAGCTGAGAGAAACACAAACTTAGCAAAATTTTATCTACTATCGGGTAGTGCAATTGATACCTGGTTATAGTGGGTTTCACAATATGCCAGGCCCTTCCTCTCATAATGGCGATGTCCAAGGAATGGCTTTTCACACTTGGCACAAACAAAATGCTGGAAAGAAATTAGTGTTGGTCATTTCTGAGTTTTCATATTCTATTTCTCTAATGCCGTAAAACCCCAAGATTAAAATATCCTCAGAGGACACATGAAGTCTGGAAGGAGTAATTTCATTTGACCACAGGAATTCCTCTAATATTTGTACAAATAATCTTAATTCTGATATCTGTAAGTCTTTGATAAGCTATTTTGAGACAAAGCATATTAAAAAACCACCCATAAAACAGAAAATAAATATCACAGAAGCATTTATAAGGAAGAGGCTGCAACTGGATGTGGATCGTGACACTTTTTACCTTAATAATAGTTTGAGAACCAAAGCGAGAATCATTTCCTCCCTTAGAGGACCATACTGAAACATTAAAGCAGTATACATTCTCTCTTCTTAATTTTTCTAGAATATGCTTTCCTTTCAAATATCCGTTATTTCACATATTGAGCATCCTAATCTTGTTAGTACCCCGGTTACTCCTGTATCATGCAATTTCTGGGTACTGGACGCAGTTAAGCTACTGTCTATTTTTATTTGAATCCAGCAACTTTTTGGCTAATAGACAGGTGATGGGTCTGGTAATCTGCTTCTCTGTGGAGTAGCTCTACTCTGCACACATGGGGCTGTCTTTAGTAGGATCTCATTTAAGAATAACTAACAATAACGACAGCTCCTACACCATTTATAACGCACCTCCACGTGCCACTGCTTGCCCATGGCATTTACAACTCTTCCTTCAATGGGCCGCCGACAAGCACCGCAGATGGGGACTCCCATTTTGTCGTGGCAGGGCAAGCAGTACAATTCCCCTTTCAGCTCCCGGGCATCCGCAGTCAGCTCCTTCCTGTCCATGAGAAAGATATCCAACTGAATAAAACTACTCAGACAGACAAGCAATTTGGCTACCATATTTTTTTACAAAGCTTTTTTCAAAAATTACTGTAAGAATATTTAGGGAGCTCTGGTGGCCTAGTGGCAAGACGCTACACTGTAATCCCAGAGGTACGCAGTTCAAATCCACCAGATGCTCTGAGGGAGAAGGAGGGGCAATCTCCTCCTGTACCAGTCAGATCTGATTTGACAGTACACGTAAAAAATAATACAATAAAAATAAAAATTATTTTAAAAAAAGAATATTTAATACCCTTTCTTTCCCTGAGAATTAACTAGGGTAACTTGAATCAGTAGACTTGAACGGGTTTTAGAGTCTATTAAAACATTAATATAATAAGATTAAAGAATAACTCAGATATGCACAATCACACTAGTCATACTAATCATTCTCTAGTCACATTATCACGCTGCATTTTTATCCATTATCAGCAAAAAGCGAGGGGAAGCTGTTGCAGTGTTGAGGGCAAAGAGACTGAGCACTTGGACATTAGTTCCATCTTTTGGAGTTAGGTGCCTTACAGTAGATTGTGACTCACAGTGACTTTATGCACAACAGAAGGAAACACTGCCTGGTCCTGAACCATCTTTACCACCACTGTTACACTTGAGCCCATTGTTTCTAACATGATGTCAATCCATCTCATTGAAGGTCTTCTTCTCTTTCACTGACTTTTAACTTTACCAAGTATGATGCCTTTTCCCTAGAAACTGGCCCCTCCTGATAACATGTCGCAAGTCCACGAGACAAAGTCTCCCCTTTTCTGCTTTTCAGGGTTATTCTGGCTTTATTTCTTCCAAGACATATTTGTTCATTCTTCTGGCACTCTATAGTATATTTAATATTCTTGAACAGCATCATAATAAAAAGAGCATCTTCTTCAGTCTTCCTTATTCATTGTCCAGTTTTTGCACGCACATCAAGCAACTGGAAATCACCTAGTTTGGGTTAGGTATACCTTACTTTAATATGGTGATTTTTTTCACTGCTACTTCCACGGGTGTTAAATGTGGATCAAACAAAGACAACAATTTCAATATTTACTACAGTTATCTGGATGTTGCTTATTGGTTAGTTATGAGGATTTCTGTTTTACGTTCAAGTATAAGCCATGCTGAAGACTGCAGTCTGACCTTCAGTGCTTCAAGTTGTGTTTTTCCCTGGCATACAAGGTTGTGTCACCTGCATTTCACAGGCTCTTAGTAAGCCCTCCTCGAATCCTTTCACTTAGCCCAGTTTTGTGGAATATCTGCCCAGCACAGACTGAAAAAGTAAGATTAAAAGATACAACCCTGACACACACCTGTCCTGATTTTAATCCTCTTGTTCTGCCTCTTCACCTATGTACAGGTTCCACATGAACACAAGTGTTTAGACATTCACAATCTTTGGCAATATTATCTACCATTTATTATAAGCAACATAGTCAAATGCCTTTGCACAGTCACTAAAACAATGGGATTTTATTTCTTTTTTTTTTTTTTTTAATTCTCTGCTTCTAACCAGATCTGTCTGCTACTGGTAAATAATATACCTCATTCTACAGCCTGTTCTGAATCCAACTTGAGTTTCTAGCAGTTCCCTGTTGATGTATTACGGCCGCAATTGTTTTCCAGTATCTTGTGTGTGATATAAATCGTATTCTTCATTACTTTCTGTGTTCTATAATATCACTTTTCTTTCCAAGAGTCTGGTAGTTTGGATGCTATTGTCCAAATTTCTCACTGTCATCTCAAGATGACAGTGTTTCCAGGGTTGCATCTGTTTGCTGAAACACCTCCATTAATACTTCGTCAATTCTGGAAGCCTTGTTTTTCAGTGCATCTTGGACTTCTTCCTTCAATCCTGTTGGTTCTTGATCATAAGCTACCTTCTGATATGGATGGACATCAACTAATTTTTTTGGCACAGTGACCGGGTATTTCTTCCATCTTCTTTTGATGCCTGCTATGTCACTCATTAGTTTGCCCATTTGTTATTTTGTTAGGAGCTACTGAATTGGTTTCAATACATACGATCTTACTGTACAAAATAATGAAACAGAGATGGCCCAGATTTGTGCCCTCCTCACAAAGCCTGCTGTGCCTAACTCTCTGTAGCAGCCACTGTTTCAGACCACTTGATGAAAGGTCTTTCTCTTTTTTTTTTCTGATCCTCTACCAAGCATGTGTTCTTAAAAAAAAATCCTGACTTCTTAAATACATGGTGATGCTCACGACAGGCCCCTTCTGCTAACACACTCAAAGGATGTGAGACAAAGCCTCGCCACCCACACTCCTAGGTGTATTATGGCTGCACTTCTTCCAAGGCAGATTTGCTCCTTTGTTCACAGAATCCTATTTTGTAATTTGAGATTTGATTTTTCCCCCCTTTCAGCTTGAGAAATGTAGACCTTCTAGTTTTTCAACTACAAGTCTATAGACATCTCATTATTAATACTTTACTTTGTCTTCTACTACCAGCCTTTGAAATCTGCTACATCATCATTTCTTCCATTTGCCTTAACTATTCTACATTCCAAAGCATGTTTCAAGATCTCTTCCCACATCCAATTTGATCTTTTGTTTTTAAGGACTTTTTGCTGTCTTCTTGTCCTTTCAATAACTATCATTTAAATTGTTACAAGCTCTTAGGAAAAATTATCCTTGTTCTCAGCAGATGCAGCTGTAGTTCAGTTATAAAGTCAGCAACACTTTAAAACTGTTCAGTGAGAAAATATTTTAAAGGCATGTGTGTATGTGTAAATACACACAAAGAGAAAGAGCGGTGGTTGTTATGTGCTGTCAAATCAATCGCCTGTGACTCATAGCAATCCTATGCACAACTGCTCTAAAGCTTGCCCTATCCTGAGCCAGTCTCACTGACTCAGACACACCTACTCCCATTACCCCAGTCACTGCATCAATCCACCGCTCTTTCTCTTTGTGTGTATTTACACATAGACACATGCCTTTAAAATTTTTTCTCACTGAACAGTTTTAAAGTGTTGCTGACTTTATAAATGAACTACAGCATGCATCTGCTGAGAACAAGGATAATTTTTCCTAAGAGCTTGTAACAATTTAAATGATAGTTATTGAAAGGACAAGAAGAGAGCAAAAAGTCCTTAAAAACAAAAGATCAAATTGGATGTGAGAAGAGATCTTGAAACATGCTTTGGAATGTAGAATAGTTGTTGTCCCTCTACCTTTCTGAGCATGATGTCCTCTCCAAGGACTGGTACACTCACTCAAATGTGGTAAAACATGAATTAGGGAATCTAGGATGAAGGACAGAAACATGTTTATTATGCTATACTTCTGATTTTTTTCATGATTTTAAATATTTTGTAATATAAAGCTGGAAAAAAACAAAATGATAGTTCATTTGCTGGAATAAAAGAAATATAGATGAATGTGATTGTTAAATTTTATTTCTGCTTCAATAAAGAAATGTAAGAAACCACCATACCCGCAGTTGGCACAGTTGAAATGATCTGGATGGTAAGGGTCATTCTTAAAGATCAGGGGTTGTTCGTCAATGATGGCGTGGCATTTCTGGCAAATGTATTTTCCGAGGCCTCTGGCTTTCTCACGATTATGACAGGGGCGACAGAGATGTCTAAATAGAGCAAAAAACTTGTTTAGAAACTAAAATAGAAACCAAAGGCTTTTTTATTCCTCAAAACATCTTTTTTATTTCTCAAGACAGAAATGAAAGTGCTCATTTCTTGAAAATGTTGTTGTTTATCAGAGTAGAATCACACTACTACTTTTTATTAGAAGTATTATTTAGACTATATTAACCATAATGTAACAATGAATGATAATTAAAATTAATCTTAAAAGGTTATAGAAAGTTTAAAGACATTAATAATATTTTTAAAAATAATAGTGTAAGCACTTATCTCAACCTTGGCAATCTGATGGATTTTCAGGTAACATCATCTTTATGCTTATTTACAATTTAAAAAAGAAATGCATCCAGCAGTCATGATTTATCACATAAAATTTGAAGCTCTGTCCTACTGGCATTAGCTAAGCCAATATAGTCCTGTCCCTAAATTCAGTTTCTTAGAGCAATCCTGAAGGCACATGGTTCGAGGCCACCAGCTGCTCTGCGGGAGAAGGATGGGCTATCTCCTCCTGTGCAATTAACTGCCTCTGAAAAACTGCTGGAGGGTCAGCTATGGGTCATTTCCGGCCCTACAGAGCATTGTCTTATATTGCTAGAGGGGGAAAATAATCAAGAACTTGTCTGTCACTTTATCCATCCTTATCTGACAAGAGTGAAAAACTCCTACCTCCCTGCATTCTTGACAAACCCAATATCTGCCAAAATTTCCTCGCAGATGTCACAACGGAAACACTCAGGATGCCAGCTGTTATTCATGGCTTTAATAACTCGGCCAATGATGAATTCACCTGTGGAGAAACAGCACATAAAAGATGGCCAATATGGGTGGGGTGGAAATAAGGAAAAAAGGTGAAAAACTTTTTGTACAAGTATGGATTCTTTTATATATCTAACTGTTAGAGTACGCAATACATTTGAGAAAAATAATTAAAGTCACTGAAAACTACTTCTGGCTCTCTTTTTAGACTCTGCTGAACCCCATTTGGTTCTTTCTGGTCATTTGCAATACAGACAGGTGAAATCCATGGAACATTTTCTTGTAATTCAGACTTAATTTTCTCTTTCAATAAATCCTTAAAATAGTCTACTTAGTTGCTCCAATTTCTAGAAACTTTCTAGTAGAGCTGTTAGTAACCAGTGCAGTGACCAACAGTAAGTCAGTACTTACATAACACACTGCATTCCTCAAGCATTTTAAACACATCACTGACTGTCCTCCCCATCAAAGTAAATAAAAGCAAATAGGTAAAGATGCCATTAACAGTGGAAAAGAACATTCCAAAAGATCAACTAAAGAAGTTCTAGGAAGCTCCTAAATACCTTTACACTGGATATTCTTTTTTTTACACTAGATATTCTTAAAAGTAAGTTTTCTGTCTTGATATGCTTTCTGTTTACCATGTATTAAAAACAGGAAAAGAATGTCTATTTGTTATTTATAATGAACATAGAAAACCATTTTTTTTACCATTGTTAAGAGTTCATTATTTATATTAAAATTTAGATTCAGTCACAACACTTACCACACTGATGACAACAAGGGGCAAAAAGCATCTGGAAGTCATGTTCACAATACTTCCTTCCTTCAAACTGAAATACAAAGTACCAACAATTTATAAATATGAAGTAGTCATAGAATGAACACGATTATAATACGATTCTACAGAGACATACAAGCTTCTGGATAAGAAAGGTGCCCTAAGAATTTATAATGTTAGCAATAATGTGCTGGGATTTTATACTTTTGTACCTTTCCATGTATCTACACACTGGTGATTGCTGTTAAATATTGTTAAGTCAGAACTGACTCACAGTTGCATTTTCAGAAGCAGTTTTTCCACACATGAGGAGACTTCTCATCTTTCTCCTGCAGAGCAGCTGGTGAAGTCGAATCATGTGCCTTTGAGTTGGCAGCACAGCTCCTTACCATTAGGCCCCCAGACTTCTCCACATGCTGGTAAAGAAAAGGTAAACTGAACAAGTTGAGATGAGGACTAATACTATGCTTCCAGAGTATAGTGACTTCACTCTGGTGGCCTAGTGACAAGAAGGTACACTGCAATCTCAGAGGCACATGATTCGAATGTACCAACTCCACAGAAGAATGGACAATCTCCTCCAGTGCAATTAACTGCCATTTGCGGGTCAGCTATGGCAAGCGTGCGCATGCTAGCTCGCGCGTGCTCGCTCTCATTCTCTTTCTCTCCCCCTCCTTCTCCCTCTCTCCCTCTCTCTCTGTGGAATGCTGTTTTGGAGGGTTCATAAATATCCTGAAATACTTCTAGGATCCTGAGTTAACAACTTCCATTTTCTACAAGTAACTGCTCTATGGGAGCTCTGAAGGCCAAGTGGTAAGGAGTACTGTCCTCATGCTTAAGGCACATGGTTTGAATTCACCAGCTTCTCTGTGGTGAAAAGACAATCTCTTCCTGTGCAATTTACAGCCTCTGAAAACTCACTGGAGGATCAACTAGCAGTTGATTCCAACCTGACAATACACAACAACAATAACATGGAGAATATAATTAACAATATTCAGTAGGATCCACTAAGTGTTTGTCTGAGCAGGTAAGACGGCGCGCAGTGACACAACAAGGGCAGGGCAAGGTAGATTAATCGAACTGTAAAGGCAAACAACAGATGGTGGCATTGGTAGGTCCTGAAACGGTGGGATGATAGGTAGAAATGCCACAGAAAGAATGTCTTCAGCAGCCTAAGCAGAGAAAAATTAGTATCAAAAGGTTTATTAACACATTCCATTCATACAGCATTTTCGCAGAGTGTACTCATATAAATAGTTTATGTGATCCTCCCCAAGACCTTGTAAGGGAGGTAGATGAAGAAACATGTCTACAGAGGATAAATAATTTTTCCCAGGTCAAAGTATCAGTTACTTGTAAAACTGCTTATTTTTCCTAATCTGGGAGTCAGCAAACTTTTTGCTCGTGTATTACCTTAAGGAACTATCAATACTTTCTTATAATATTCAGGATGGATATAAAAATTCCTAAGTTAAATAAGCAAAAATGATTTATGTTCGAGAATAATACTTTAATATTAGCATTAAAAATGAAACCAGTAAATAATTTTAAAATGTAGATAACCAGTTTGTGCCAAGAAATTTGGAAGATAGCTACCTGATCAACTAACTGGAAGCGATCATATTTGTTCTCATTCCCAAGAGAGGTGATTCAATAGAATGTGGAAATTATAGAATAGTATCATTAATATAAAATCCAAGCAAAATATTAATGAAGATAATCCAAAAATGGCCAGAACAAGTATAAGGACAGAGAACTGCCAGAATTTCAGGCTGAGTTTACAAGAGATTGTGGCACTAGGGTGTCACTGCTTATATCAGACGGATCTTGGCTGAAAGAGAATACCAGAAGAATGTCTATTCGCATTAATTTACTGACTATGCAAAGGCATTTGACTGTGTGGATCATAAACAATGCAACACTGAGAAGAATGCGAATTCTAGAACACTTAATTATGCTTACATGAAATCTATACAAAGACCAAGGAGCTGTTGTCCAAACTGAGCAAGGGACCACTGAATGGATGGTTCAAATTCAAGAAAGGAGAGCATCAGGGTCGTATCCTTCTCCATATCTATTCAATCTGTATGCTGAGCAAATCATTAGAGAAGCTGTACTTTATGAAGAATGTGGCATCAGGATTGAAGACTCATCAACAACCTATGTTAAGTAGATGACACAACCTTGCTAGGTTAAAGTGAAGAGGGCCTGAGAAGCTTGCTGGAGATGATAGCCTTCAATATGGATAGCATCTTAATATCAGGAAAACAAAAATCATAACCACTGGACCAATGGGTAATATCATGATAGTGCAAGATTTAAGTTGTCAATGATTTTTTTTTTTAATATCCATAATCAACTCCGTTGATACCAGCAGTCAGGATATCAGGAGATGTATTGCAAAGGTCTGCCATCAGGGATCTTCCAAAGCCCTGAAAAGCAATAATGCCAGTTTCAAGACTAAGGTGCACCTGAATCAACCTATGGTCTTTCCAATCACCTGCTAGCATCTGAGACCTGGACAATTAAAAAAGATGGCAGGAGAATGATTGATGCATTTGAGTTGCAGTATTAGAGAAGAGTGCTGAAGGGACTGTCATTTATGGAACATTTAAAAGAACAAGCATATGTCCTGGAGAACACATAACCAGAGTGCTCCCTGGAGACAAAGATCACAAAGCTACACTTCACCTATTTTGGACATGTTGTCAGGAGATGTTATTCTTTGTAAAAGGACATTATGCTTGGAAAGGAGCAAGGGCAGCAAGAGAGGAAGATCCTCCATGAGATGAAGTGAGACAGTATTTTGGTAAGGGGTTCAAATGTGCTGGGGAAGACAGGAAAGGTGTAGGACAGGACAGGGTTCAGATCTGTTGTTCAGAGGGTCAGTGCGAGCTGGACTTGACAGCACTTAACAACAAACTACTTTTTTTCCCCCCTCAATTGTCTGAAATTTCTATAACCTTGCTCCATGGATGGTGTAGAGCAAAGCCTCAAACCATTTCAACACTGCTCTTGCAAGCACTATAGGAATGCACAACAAACTACTTTTTAAAGTTGTAAATTGCACATTCTTCATTTCTTGTTGAACTTTTCTATTTCACTTTCTCATAGAAGTATAATGTCTAGTAAGCATGTGTTTTTATATGGAAATCTTTAAATGGATAATTTTTAACTGATTTGAAATTAAAATGCACATATAACATAAAGCTTTAAAGTTTGTTTACCTTTTGAATCAATAAGCTCTAATGGTTAAACTTTGTCATATGAATTGTTATAATTATTACAAGTAATAAAAACTATGTAGTAGTTTATATTTGAAAATAAAGTATACTATTTTTTATTTGAAAAGCAAATCTTACTGAAATAAGCAGGCTGCCCTTTCCCCTATAATTATTTCATGCATCTATGGATAAATATAACTCCCTGCTAAATTGAGCCAGGGTTTGGCATTAATTCTAGATCTATTTTCTAAGTTGGGGCTTACTTAAAACAACCACCACGATAAAAACAAAGAAGGATGCATGTGTTAAGCTATAAATAAATCAAGTAAACTGTTATAGAATCATGTTCCCTTGTGCTTCCTACAAGATATATGCCCCAAATGGTTCAGTTTTCAAAATCCATTTTTTTTTCAAAATCCATTTTTAATGATGTATCAACTGCCACTCACCCCATGAATTGTGGCTGTAGATTTAATGCAAGTATTAAAAATACATACCAGAGCTCAACAGGCAAAGTAGACGGTCCTCAATGTGAATCAGCCAAGTCAGATTTCTTTTCTGCCTCAAGTCTTACTTCATTCTTTAGTTGAAATAAATGAGTTCCAGCATACTTTTTGCTGTTATGTGTCAGAGTCAGAACCAATCCACAGCTGACCCTCTGGTGGGTTTTCAGAGGTGTCAGTCACAAGGAAGGAGACTGCCCATCCTCCTCCTGCAGAGCAGCTGATGGAGGAAAACTGCATGTTCTGGGGATTACAGTGCAGCTTCTTTCCACTACGCCACCAGTGCTCAAATATTACATTTTTAAGTTATAAACATATGTTAAGAAATCAACATGCTGCTGTTGTTGATTGCCTTCGAGTTGAGACCGACTCATCGTAACCCTATGAACAAAAGGCCTGAAGCCCCTCTACAACTATCGATACTTATCAAAGTTCATAGAGTTTCCGGAGGCATGATATTTAGGAAGCGGACGCCACTTCTGCTTCCAAAATATGCTGTTGCTCCTCAGTATTTAATAAAGCACTGTAATCTGTATTCACAAAGTGTAAAGCTATTTATAAAGGAAGATATATTCTTCCTTTGTTAAATTTCTTATATATGTATAGAAATGTAGGATTTTGCTGTGTCAGTAATTTTTAAAAATCAAATATGTACTTTCCAGCCTGGTTCCGGCACTATGGCCCCTGCAAAGAAGGATGGTGAGAAGAAAGGCCATTCTGCCATCAACGAAGTGGTGACCAGAGAGTACACCATCAACATTCACAAGCGCATCCATGGAGTGGGATTTAAGAAGCGTGCTCCTCAGGCGCTAAAGGAGATCCGGAAATTTACCATGAAGGAGATGGGAACACCAGATGTTCGCATTGACACCAGGCTTAACAAAGCTGTCTGGGCCAAAGCAATAAGGAATGTCCCATACCGCATCCGTGTACGGTTGTTCAGAAAACGTAATGAAGATGAAGATTCCCCAAACAAGCTGTATACACTGGTTACCTATGTACCTGTCACCACTTTCAAAAATCTACAGACCGTCAATGTGGATAAAAACTAATAGCTGATTGTCAAATAAAGTTATAAAACTGTAAAAAAAATCAAATATGTAAAAACAAACAAAAATATTCTTAGTTTAGCTAGAAATTATCAACTTTTTCCCTGTAATGAATGAAAGAGAGAGATGTGTTCTGTTTGAAAAACAAAGTTAGTGCAGTAGGTGGTACACCCTCCCCCCCACACCCTATTTAAGAAGCTCTGGTGACACAGCCTGGAGCGAGTCTAACCCAAACATGACACCCATCTGGTGGTTCGAAGTCACCATATCTCC